ATCTCTCTTGAGCTGGTGCAGGGAGTGAGGATCTGAGAATGGTGTGAAAGAGAGGAGAGTGTAACAAGGGGCTAGAGGCAAGGCTGGAGGTGCGGGCGTTCCTCTACACCCCAAAGGCTGCTCTCCATAGATTGCCTGGCTTTTTGGAAACAGTGGCCTTGCTGTTCGTGACTTGAGCCATTTACTTTTCTCATTACAGGAGACTGAACCATTCTAGCAAAAAATCTATAAATCTGACAGTTTTTAAGAATGATGATGGTTTGTGTTTTAATGGGAAAATGAAGTTTGAACAGAAAGTGATGACCACAAATACTGGAAAGATTATATGCCCTGATTTAGAAGATTTTAGGGATGAAGACAATAGTGAGCCTGAAGTACACTGGTATAAGGTAATGTGTGTCTGTATGTGGGGTACAGAAGATAGAAAATGTTCTATTTAAAATGTGCTATACAATAGCAACTGCTGGAAGGAGAGGCTTACTCTCTATACAGTGTAAAGTGTCTGTGCCACATTACTGGGAAAGTGTTCAGAATTGTAAGAAAAAGGCCTGTTTTAAAGAAACAAGTTATCCATTTTAACTGCAAGGTCTTTCAGATTGTAATTGCATCTATCTTCAGTTTATTGATTAGTGAAATAATCCAGTTTCACTTCTTTTATCCTCTGTTTATTTTGTTGAGCTGGTGAGTTTAAAAACTTGTAAGTTTTGCTATATATTAAGCTCTGCATAGCTATCTCAGTTTCACAGAAACTGTGCTTGTCACGGTGGATTATGGTGTAGTATCCATAATTAAAGATAATCAGTCATAATCCAAGCTCCTTGCTGTGATTCAGGAAAAATACTCTGAGAACTGTGCAGGCTTGGAAAGGTATATTTTGCGAAGATGACCTAAAATTCTGAAGCTGTTCAACTCTTGATTCCGATGCTGGTTTTAGATACCTGTGTGGGCCTGTATATTACATGGGAAATATCCCCAGTGCTGCACCTGGCGCACCTCTTGTTTGAGGTGAAATTATTCTAAACTCTTAAGACAGGAAAGAGAAAGGAGTTTTTCCTGGCATCTGCCTTTCTGCAGAAATGATAATATGCCCATAGCATGGGACACTGCTTACAGCAGCTGTGGTGTCTCTGTGTCATGGAAATGTAAGCATGCATTCTCTTAAACTCTGCTACTGGATAATAACCTTTTGTAGAGGAGGATGGATAATTGAGAAACCACTAGGTGAATGTAGTTAAAATAATGGGCACTATTTCTGTTAATATACAACATTTGAAAGCTGCAGTGATTCAAAGGGCCAGACATCAACAGGCTTTGTATTAGGGTGTTGCAACCATGGAGAAGACCCCATTTTGTTTTTTAAAATTGGTTATGTGTTTGGCAGTTATTTTAATAATCAGCATAGTTATTAATTTCACAGAATCACCAGTATTTTTGATATATTTAGGAATGTAAACCTGGCTTCCTAGAAGACAAGCGACTTCTCTTGGCAGAGGGTGAACATGCCATCTTGATTCGCAATGTAACTCTACAAGACAGAGGAAACTACACGTGCCGTATGGTATATATGCATATGGGAAAAAAATATAATGTTTCACGGACTGTGAGTCTAGAAGTTAAAGGTGAGTGCATTGAGGTTTTTCCTTTCCTTTTGTGCTGTGCTATAATTACTTCTATGCTAGCATTAGCTTATTTGGCATGCCAGTTTACTGGAAAGTGTATTTTGTTTGGTGAAACTGCAGCTGCAAATCTTTTCTAAATTAATTCTGTCCTGAATACTAAAATTAAAATACAGTAATGCATGTTGCAACATGAATTTCTTCTTCACACACTTTGGATTCAATTTGGATTATTTTAGATTACCCTGGAGGGGGTTTACCTTTAGGAAGCCTTCCATTTCCATTTGAATGAAGCTGGGAATGAAGCTTTCTCTGAATCCTCTATATGTATTTACAGATGAGAAAGGAGGGGAAAGAATTAAAGGCAATCCTCAACAGGGTTTTTGGGCTTTGTTCTCTGTTATTTGGGGCAATTTGGTTAATTTTAAATTGGAAGGGAGATGCAGGCAGAAGTGATGGATTCCTGGCCAGAACTACTCTATTCTTTACAAGTATTTTGCATTTTTCCTTTCCTTGCTGGGAGATTGGCTCTGCCAAAACCACAAGAATAAAGATGGCAGGTGCATGGCTGAAGACATATTTTTCTTTTACAAGCTTTAAGAAATGCAGGAAGGAACATTGGCTGTGCTGCCAATAGATTCCTTTCTGTCTTCTCAGCTGCAGTTGCTGAGTTAAGTCGTTTGACTTAACTTGTCAAATGTAGCACCTGAGTGCTACCAAAAAAGAATTGAGAGAGGGAAATGAGAAGTACAGGGTTAGGAATGAAGTTTAGTGGGAAGTAGTGGTGCACTTTTTTTTTTTTTATCAAAAACAAGTACTTTGTGGAATATTTAATACCTGAAGAGTTTGTTTTTCTCTTTGTTTCTGTTAGAAAGCCCTCAACAAATAAGACCAGAGTTTATTTATCCAAAGAACAACACAATTGAAGTGGATCTTGGTAAGTAGTGACTACTTAAAAATCATTAACATTTAGTAGACAGATTGAGCTCCTGCTTTTTCTGCAGATGCATGATAACAGTTCCAATGACTTAGCAAGACTGGGAGGTACACATGTGGATAGAGGATATCTGGAAGACAGATGACAGAACTCAATGCCCATAGGTAATTAATTTGCAGGGATAAAACTGTATGCTTGAGATTGGAGTCTCTTGGCCAGCAGTGTTAGGTAGGATGCGTATATCTTATGATTCTTGCTGTCTCTCCTTGGTCCCAGTGCCCATGTCTTGACATATCCTCAGTATTTGTATGAATATATTTACATATATACATGTTAGGATAGTTGCCAGTGGACTTGTTCATTAGTTTCTCCTCTTCCTACATTCTGAAGTTGCCAGGTTCTGGTGAGGATGAGTAAAATTTGACCAAAACAGTGAAATGGCTTTAGTAGAAATTATGTTCCTCCAAAGTCCAGAATGCTCTATTTTAAGCAGGAAAGTGTACCCGAGGAAAAAAATTCAGCATCTGATGCAAACAGTATTATTCTATAGTTTTGTAGTCCTGCAGTCTTTAGATAGTCATTTAATTCTGTTGGAAACACTCACAAATGGCTGTTGAGTGTACTGTTATCTTCCTCTTCGCTAGTAATTACAGTTTCTCTGGCTTCATTAGAATAACATTCTAATATTAAAAATATCTGTTTGTGCTCTCCAGCTAAAATGAAATTTACAGATCTTAGTCTGCCTCACACAACCTTTTCCCTAGGCTTTATGTGTGAAAACTTATCTTTTTTTTAGAAAATGTAACTATGGAAGAAATTGAGTAATAATAGGGTTTTGATGTATTGAATCTCCTTTGATAGTACTTGCTGAGAGAATGGAGAAACAAGCAATTATCAGCCCAGGGGCTGTGACACTGGGTCTGTATTAAGGCCTCTTGTGGGACAACTTGTTAAGACTACTCATTTTAGATGAGCAGTTATTCTACTGTGTCTCCTAAAAAATTGCTGGTATATTACTGTCAGACCAAGACCAGTTAATGTGAACAACTGTGACTTTGATTGCCCCACTGATGTTAAGAAAGTAGTCACATGTGAAATTAAAGCCATAAGGCCTTCACTCACAGAGGCTTTTTGGGGGCTATGAGTATCTAAAATAAGTGATTCCTTACCACAAAGGAAACCCTTCCAGGGAAATAAGGCAAGAACAAGCAAGCAACCCTACCCACCAAAAACCACACAGCAGTGCCATTCAGCTGGGATTAGTATCCTCTGCCTGATACATTCAGTGGAATGCTGGAAAAAATCTTTGTTTCTACTAAGTGCGTAGTTGTTGGGCAGAATGTGGAAACATTTGTTGAATGAGAAATGACAAAAGAATGTGTAAAAAAAAAAAAACCTTTGTTATCTGCAGGAATGTGTGGAAGTAAAGGTCTATCTGTAAACCCCAACCCATCTTTAGAAAAAACACATCCTTGAGGTAGAATAATATACGGGAAGAGATTGAGAAGCATCTGTGATTCCAGTGTGAAATACACTGTAACTGCATGTGAGCTAAAGGGTTATTCCATGCTTTTGATAAAGACTATCCCTTGGTGGAAGCGTCTACATCTGATGCGATTCACATTTGATGTGAAAGAAATATTGAGATGTTTGCATAGGTGAACTGAGAGCCCATCTTCTCCTATCAAATCATAACTTCCATGGATAAAATAAAGAAGGACAGGACTCCAAGAAAGCTGCTTACCTTCCTGTAAATGGAGCTCTCTGAGGTACATAGGCAATAAATTCTGCAACTTGGCTTGCTTTCTTGCTACTGAGGTGTTGTGTAAGTTCTGGGCTCTTGTTGGCAATGGAGCTGAGTTACAGGTGGGCTTGCTCTGAGAGCAGTCTGTGGAGATACTTAGAAACCATCCCAGTGGACAGTGCTGGCCAAAAGACTCTGATTTGGAGTAAAGAAATGCATGTTCATTAAGAGTGGGTTACAGCTCTGGAGTGTAGGCAACTAAATGTGGGTGTCTCCATGTGAGTTAGAGGCATCAGATCATCATAGGGGCTGTCATTGACAGAGTCGTGGTTCAGTTTCCCATAAATAACATCTAGTGCTGTTTGGGATGCTCTGGTTTCCTAGCTGTGCAGGTCTCTTGGAGAGCAGGAGTCCTCTCTGCCAGCTCTCCATATGGATGTCTTGGATGCTTGAGAGCATCTCAAATGCTCCTGTGGTGTATGCAGGCAACTGATATGAGTCCTGTCAATATAGTCAGTAGAGTCTGGAGTTTGCTAAACTCCAGGTGTCTATTTTAGTGTGAGCTAAGTGCGGTGGAGCTGAATTCCAGTACTGGCTTAGACATCTAGCTCACATGTAGACATGAACATTTAGACACCTACATTTAGGGTGGAATTCACGTCCAGATTGGAGACACCCAAGTGTGGAGTACAAATGGACGAGTTTTAAGGACTCTGCTTTTTGCAAGGTAAGTATTTTTTTTTACCTTCTATCCCTCCTTTTCTCAGCTGTTCCCCAGTTACCTGATCCTGTTTCTGCTACAAGACTTTTAATTGTCAAATTTGTTCAATTTTTTTTAGGCGCGCATGTAGTCATGGAATGTAATATATCAAGTGGCATAAATGGCCTGATTCCATACTGGACAGTTAATGATGAGGATGTTGATAGTTTTGATAGCAGTTACAAAGAACAGTTTTATGAGTAAGTATTCTTAGGTGTTGGACTGTAAGTAGATTTCTAGATCAAGCAGTGAATCCACCAAAAGGTGACTAGTAGTAAACACCAGTAGGCATTGAAAAGGTGTTTAGAGGTCTGTATCAAATATATTGTATTTTTATCACTTGGTTTTAGCATGTGGAATATATACAGAATGTAATCCTGTGAAAGTTCTGAGTGAGATTAACAGTTCCAAGTAAGTTGTCTAGGATCAGCAAAATCAATCTGCAAAGGAGTAATAGTATTCCAATATTGTTATTTCAATTGTTATTTCCCCCTCTCCCTCCACACACATCAACAATTTAACTTGTGGAACATTTGCTAGTAGCAAAGCCCACTCTAGACAAGTTCCACATTCTGGCCTGCTGCAGAGAATGGTAGATCTGCTCTAGCTAAAACTGACCTGGATAATTGTGAACATGTTGCAAAATAATTATGTTTGCGTTAAGATCCTGTGATAGATGTCACTGGCAACTATATATATAAAAGAAATCAGTTCTTCAGGATGTTCTGCAAAATGAATTTTGCTGCCTGTGAGCCGATGCGTAAGGCTGTATTGTCACAGGGCATGAGGCTGATTTGCAGGCATCTCCCAACTGCTGCCTTTCCAACATAGGTAAACCTTCCTAACAGCAGGATAATTGGAAGTATTTAACAGCAGATATTTAACAGAATGTCATATTATATCATATATTGCCACAAGAGGCACCAAGCCTTTTGTCGCGGTGGATAGTGGAAATAAAGGTATCATCACCATGTTTGTCTTCATTAGGCACCAGAGTCAACCAAATGCTCGGTCAGTGCTAGTCTTGAAGCCTTTCGTCAAAGTGCTGACATTTACTGATCTGTGCTTCACTGACCCTGAGGTTTCAAGAATTTAAAAATGGGTGTCCTTGTATTTGTAGACAGCTGAGTCTGTCTTACATAAAGCATTGGTATTTCAGCTTTTTTAGTAGCATTTCATTTTTACTCTTTTTTTTTTAATAACAGAGAGGGGATGCCTCATGGACTTGCTGTATCAGGAACAAAATTTAACATTTCAAAAGTGAAAGTAAAGGACTATGCACATAAATTTTTTTGTCACGTTGTGTATGGTTCTCGACAAATTACAGCATATATCAAATTGGAACGTCCAGGTAAAGTATACCGTCTTGATAAAATGGTGATCAGCGGTGCTGACTTCTGAATTAGTTTGACAACAGACTTATCCCAGCTAAAACTGTATGATGGACCTTTGTGTTAAGTGAGTGATACAACTTGTTGAATTGTTGCAACAATTCCGTAGTGAAATTATGCCATACTTCCTGTATTACCAAAATGAAACAAAATAGCACTTTTAACCTGCCTCAGGTTCTCTCATTCAGCTTATTAGAAAAGTTTTATGAAAGACTCAAAATAAATTGAAGCAAATGTATTCCTCAGGGGAATACTGTGTCCCATTTTACAGACTTGTACTTCAGGGAGCTTGTGGATCAAATGAAAGCATGTGTGTAGAAGAGCACCAAGGATGGTGAATTCTCTAAAAGAACTGGGAGAGACATAGTTTTGTCCAGAACAGGTTTTGTCAAGAGAAAATGAAGCCTCTTGTGCACTTAGTTGTGACAAGAAGTAGGCTCAGACTGCCAGGGCAAATATAAATTGTTTAGATAGGAGAAAAAGCTCTAACAGTAATGATAACGAAGCAGGGGCATAGATTGGTTGGGAGGGTTACAGTTTGCATTGCCAGTGAATGTCCTGCATTACTGCCTCCTGGATAGGCTTATGCATCTTGACTGGGCTCATCCTGCCCCTTTTTGGACCCCCCAGTCTCATACTGGGAGACAGGATGTTAGGCCAGTTACTAGCCAGTCTGAAATGTGTCTTGTGAATAGATGAGCTTTAAAGGTAAAATGAGGTCCAAAACCTCAAATGCAAGGCAAGAAATTCAGTGTTTGTAATTAGAAAGAAGTACACAGAAAAGCAATGCACCAGATTTTTTTACTGTTGCATTTTTTAAGTTTAGCTATAGAAGATTCTCTATGTCTTGAGCTACAAAAATGGATCTGCCAGTTGTGAGTCAATCCTTTGACAAGCATCATTTTCAGATTTACGTTTTTCTGGCCACATTGTAAACAAATGACTAACTGAAAATGGATCTGAGCCCTAGTGTGCTACCTGACTATAAATAATATGCATTCAGTAAATTAAGGTCTTCTTTGTTGGGGTAGGATTTGAACTTCAGAAATCCTTTAATATGCATGAATCAAAAATGACAGTTCCATTAAAAACAAAACCAATGGTAAGTCTTCATACAGGTTAGATATGATGGAAGGGTGATTACCCTGGGGATCATGATCAGTAAGTCATTTCCCCAACTGACATTTTTGCTTTTTGACTGATAAAATTCTGTATGACAATTCTCACTCTTCTGCTTCACCATATCTCTGTAACAATAATTTTGTGTTTTGACTGAAAAATAGCTGCATTAGTCACATTGCTAAGGTACGTTTTCTGTGAAAGATAAAAACGACCTATCAAATAGCAATATTTGTTGAAAGCATGCATGAAGAATCTTCAATCCTATTAATTCATTGTATTCTTGAATCCTTTAATGACAAAAGTTTTTGAGGACTTAGATGACAGTTTTAAACATTTCTGTTCTCTTTTTTTTTCAGTTCCAATATATAACTTCCCCACCTTCTCTCTTTTTTTCCCACTTTCTATTGCAGCTCCAAGTATTCAAGGTTACTTAATTGGAGGAGGAGTTTCTTTCGTATTCTTAGTATTTTTTACTGTCTTTGTCTACAAGATCTTCAAAGTTGATATTGTGCTGTGGTATCGCAGCTCCTGCCATCCTCTCCTGGGTAAAAAAGGTATGCTTTTGTAGCAGTACGCATGTACATTAAGAGTGTGTCATGTGTGGTAAGGAGTGGATTACCTCTATCTTTCCTACAAAGCAGTGAGTTAACCTGATGGAGTGTGACTGGACCTTCAGGGGATTTTTCAAAAGACAACACACTTCAAGGCTGTTTAGGTTTAGTTTAAAAGCAGACATAGGGAGATGTCAGCATCGTTCTAGCCATTTAGATGTTAAACCCTGACCTCTGCATCATTATTTCCCTTAAAGCTTCACTTTAGTGGTTTCCAAGCACAGGCTATTCTGGCAGCAGTTGTTCAGATTTCCTTTAATTGCTATTCTTATAAAAAGCAGTAATACAAGGGAATTGCTTTTTTCATGGAAGAGGCAGGACAAATTGCACTTAGTTTGAGTCCTGTTTGAGGACACTTCTGGTTATTTTACGTTCTGTAAACTCCTGGCATTCATAGTAACAGAGATGGGTGTGCTCCCTGTGCCAGCAGGATGCTGACCCAGGATTTGTGTGTGAGTGTCTGAAAGGAAGTGCCTTGCTAGGGCAGCAGCTAATATCTACTAGAAGTACCGAGTTACTTGCTGGATTTCTTTGAAGTCTTTTAAATTGAGCCTCTCTGAAAAGTTTGTTCCAAGTATTAAATCTACGTCTGATATTCTTGAAACATATCATGTATTTGGGTTTTGTTTTCACGTCTAAGTGCTGATTGTGTTTTGAAACTGCAGGTTACAAAAATGACCTATTATTTATATGCAATTTTGACTTTTAAAAGATGGTGTTGTACTACTGGAATGATTACTTTCCAGATACTTCAGTGGTAATATTTTTGGTTTAGGGTTGAGTAATGAATACTCAGACCTACTTAATTTTACAGGTTTTTTTCTTTTTTCGCTTGTTCACATTCTGGATACTGAATTCTGAAGGCCAGATTTTACACTTATGCAGGCTCAATATAATTATATAGGCTTAAGCAATAGTAAGGTCGGGACCCAAGACAATGCTTTAAGTGTGATTGTGGGGAAATAGACTTTAGAGATTTCTCTTTGTCTTTAGATTCCTTTTTTTTATATTAATCTTCTTGTTGACTGTTCAGTTTCAGATGGGAAGATCTATGATGCTTATGTCCTGTATCCAAAGAACAGAGTGAGCTGCTTGTATTCCTCAGATACTTTTGCTCTGAAAATATTGCCAGAGGTCCTGGAAAGGCAGTGCGGATATAACCTCTTCATATTTGGGAGGGATGATGTTCCAGGAGAAGGTAAGCTACCTGAAGCTTGATACAATACTTTGGTTTTCTCACTGAGTGCAGAAGTGAAGAAGGGGAAGGGCTCCCTCAGAAATACAGTCCGAGTGCTTTCTTTTTACTTTTACACCCAGAAAAATGTAATGGTCTCTTCTCAGGATTAAGCCATATGTGTTTTGTGTGGTAGTTACAGTGTTTCCCTGTTTCAGAATTGAAAGCCATTGAAGAGAGGATTCTGTGTTTTCTCTGAAGTTTGCATCTAATGAAAATGTTTTAAGCATATCAGGACAAGCTGTTTAAGGGGAAAGGATACTGTTTTACCAAGGCCTTTGCCTGGTGTTTCTGGAACTTGTTTCTTGTTTGTTTGCTTGGTATTGCAGTTGTGCCTACAGTGATAATGAAATGTCAGCAAGTAAGTAAATAGTAGATAGTTGGTTACTCCTGTTGATTTATGCAAAACAAGAACATAGGAGTGTAGTCTGATGTGGTCAGATTGTGTTGCATTAGCCAAATCTCCACTTGCCAGCTACCCCACTGTGACTTCTTGCTTGTCCCTAATTATGCAGTGAAGTATTTGGGAATATCAAGTAAATGGAGCAGCTGCAACATGACAGTAGCAAAACAGACACATGCAGCTTTAATTCTGTACAACCTTTCTGTCTCCCCAGCTGTGATCAGCGTTGCTGATGAAAAAATACGCCAAAGTAGAAGAGTGATAGTTGTTCTAGTACCGGAACCGTCCTTTTACAGTATCCTAGAAGATGCATCTGAAAAACAGCTAGCTGTGTATAACGCTCTTACCCATGATGGCATCAAAGTAATCCTGATTGAACTGGAAAAAATACAGGATTATGCAAGCATGCCAGAATCCATCAAATACATTAAGCAAAAGCACGGGGCTATCCGATGGAAAGGGGACTTCTCGGAAAGCTCTTACTCTGCAAGTACCAGATTCTGGAAGAAAGTGCGTTACCACATGCCATCGAGAAAACATGCATCTTCATCAGGATTGCCCTTGTTAGAAAACATGCATCTTCATCAGGATTGCACTTGTTACCAAAAGACTTCAATTCTCCCCAGATTACCTCGGAAGAATGATGCCTCGTGAGTCTGCAGTTCACATAAGTGAAGATGGTTTCACTGAACATCACTTGTATCTGTTTTGTACAGATAATCTCATCCAAATTTTCTGGATTAAAGGTACTGCACCATTGTCTATGGATGTGAAATGTCCCTTTTTTTCTGGCTAGATCAACAGAACACTTTGAAATGTCATCAATAGAACTGAGATGGCATAAAAAACATGTGAGAAGTGCTTAAGGACTTCTCCAAGAAATCTGCTGTGATTTGGTGGGGTTTTTTTCTGGTAATAAAATTGCAAGGGTAGAAAAAAATGTCAAAAAATCAGAAAACTTTTTAGCAATTAAAGGTTGAAAATGAAGGAAACTGTATTTAATGGTGATATTGTGTAATGGACACATTGATGTTTGATGCCAGTAATATATTTTTATCTTTTTTTTTTATTCTAAATGAAGTGACCTGAAACTTTTATTTGTTAAAAAGTCATTTTTCGCTGCTTCGTTCAGTTTGCTCAAAGAGAAATACATGTGTTGCTTTGTTGCTGTGATATCCTCCAAGAGAAAAGAGGCAATCCTACCTTCCAGCAAAATAGCTGTTGAGCCAGAGTGTAAACTCTCTTCCCTGGTCTGTGATTCTTTTACATGCTAAGGAATTGTGGTTTTTTTTTTTAACTCATTTGTTCAACTCAAACATTATAAAAATATCATCGTCATGTAGTGCTGAGATCTAAAGCTCCGATCCCCAAAGGATTTTTCTTTTTCAGTTAGGTGGCTCAATGTCTTTGTCCTTATTGTACATGCGGAGCAGTGAGCTAATGACACAGATTCTCTAGAGGGTGGTTAACTTCAGTTTTCTTCCCCCACCTTAGGGACCGAAATCAGGGTGCTTCAGAGCAAAGTCAGGCTGCAGAGTTGAGCTGTCCTCCTGGAGGGCAGGTCTTCCCTCCTGGTCCCCACTGGTGTGGGGAGCCCTGGTCCCCTCTAATGTTTGTCACTGGAGAACTAGTGACAAACCAGAAGACATTGATGTGGCAGAAGGGGCTATTTAAAACTTAACTTGGGTTAAGTTTTCTCTTAGATCACTGAGTCTGTGGCATTCCCTGAGGGGCCAGCAGTGAAAAGGTTGAAAGAAAGTGGTAACAGGACCATGCTTTTTGGCCACAGATGCATTTTGAGAATAAAACTAAAGTAGTGTTGCTGTGCAGAAGCCCTGAAAATGCTCTGGGCTGCATCACCCCCAGGAGCTGCTTGTCTCTTGGTTTTTGTTCCTCCCCTACTCCCTGCCCTTCCTTCCTGTGCCCTGGTTGCATCAGGGCCTGGAGTGCCCGTGTACCTGCAGTGCCCGTGGTACCGGGGCCACAGCTGCTGCCACTGTCCGGCACAGCGGTGTGGAAAAGGACGTTGCTAAAACTGACTCTTCATGTTGAAGCTTTTCTATTACTGTGCAACGCGCTCTTGCTAACGCTGAACTTACACTTGCCCCGTGCGTTGACAGTGATGCAGGTGCAAAGATGGATTTTGGAATTGATTTGATTTTAGAAAATCAGCAAATATATCTAAAGTCACGTTTATAGCTATGTTTTTTTTACTGAAGGAGATGTGGAAAGCTAAATTGCCAGTGCTTTTCAGTCTCTGCTTAATAGTTTACATTTTAAAAGTTTTTGTATAGGAAAGCTTAAAGATTTGAGTGTTACACTCTGTGTACTCAAAGTACAGGGCATATGTAGCTGTTCTCACCAAAACTTCAGTAAATGTCAATGTTTACTGAGTTGTCTGCTGAGCTGGAGATAGAACTGTGGTTGCAGCTGGTATCCATGGACATTGACTACTTTTGCTGCTAGTGGTTTTAACTGATGATTTGCTTATAAAAAGAAAGATTTTTTTTTTAATTGAGAAGACAGGTATTGCATTTCTTCGTGTGTGTGTTTTTTTTTTTTTAATGTGTGTCAATGGAATGTATTTCAAAGGGCAAAATATAACAGCTCTGCTACTTGTGCATGGCTAGGGAAAAAGTTACTTACTAGATTTAAAGTGAAATCTTGCTTGTGTGCCAGCTGAGAAACATGCAGCTAGGATAAGACAGGTACGGGTATCTGTACAGGTATCTGTGCAGACTTTTCTTGATACATGTCATGTCACAGTAGCAGATTCCGTCCAACTCTAGCTTTTCCCTAGAACAAATGGAATTCAGCTTTTAAACAGCAAAACCCTGCAGTTGTGCCCACTGGCTCCTTCGTGACTGTTTGCTCTGCTCTTGATACCTGCCCTGGTAGAGGCACTGGGGAGGAGACTCCCCAGCAGGTTGTTGTGCTCTGCTCACAGCGTGAGGGAGCTGGGAGCTTCCCATGCCCCGACTTCCAGACGTGCCTTTAGCAGCTTCTGGACGCTCTGAATTCCCATTTGCGTTCACATCCTGTCAGCTCCTGCCTTGCAGAACCCTTTTTTCTCCTCCTACTCCATTTACAGCGTATCTTTTCCCATAGAGCCCCCTTATTCTGCAACAACCAACTTGCTGTGTCAAAATGCCTCGTTTTCCAAGCAGCCTGGAAGACTGTTGCTTGTACAGCATTAGGCAGATTTTTTTTCCTTTGAGATGATTTTGATATTTCCACTTGTTGATCTGAAAAAAAAAATCAGTATACTTCAAAATTCTTCTGGTTGGAGGACTGCCTCCTTCTATTTGGCATGGCAGTGTTGGCTTTTTTCATGGCTCAAGTGTTTTTATGCCTCCATCCTTAGCAAAAAGAAAAGGATAGTGTGAGGTACCATCCTCTAAAAGAATTGTCCAGTGGATCATCTGGCTCATCTGACCTTTGTGTTTGGCCTGATGGGTGACAGAAACAGTGGAAATAGCTTCCTCTCCCACCTGAAGTCATTTGGTTCCCTGAGTGGATGCTGGAAACTGCCTCTGACAGCTAATGCCTCCTATGCCTTGTGCGCCCCTCTTGGCAGGAAATCCAGCCTTCCTGAAAAGATCTTTTGGCCTCATCAGTCTTTGTCTGCCTTGTTCATCCCACATCCTACTGTGAGAAATAGAGCAGCATGACCACACTACATATCTTAGTAAACAGAAATCCAGACAGAAAGTAACAATTCCCAACAGCTGCTTATTTAAGTTGTTCCTAAAGTTTTCTACTATTAATTTTAATTTAATTTATCTTTTGCCAGAATGGCGTAAGAATCTCTATCTCAGAGTAGGAGGGAGAAAAGGGTGCATTTGAAATGTCAAAGATTATTTCAAACTGTCACAGTACTGGAATGTTTTATTTCTGAATGTTATGTATATGCAGACCAATGCATATGCCTCTCTCCTGTTCTCCTTCTGAGTTTTGCTGAGTTTAAGACAAGTGTTTGGGGAGGAACACGTCTGGATATAAACTGCCGTGTTCACTTGGCCGTCGTGCAGCATCTGCTTTTCAATATGGTCTGTGTTTGGTGACAGTCGGTGGTAGGTGGAAGAACTCTGGGTAGCTGAGATGCCTCCAGGCACGAGTACTGCACTAAGCATCACAGCTCGCAGTCAGGTGTACCTGATGGAAGGATTTAGTGAGGGACAGAAAGTGTATGATTTGGTCTCAAAACTCTTCTGTAAGAAGATCCCTGTTTCGAATGTGAAGACTAGACACTGGAAGTACCAAATTCGTACCCTGAGGACTAAAGCATGGTACACCAACTTGTGTTTCCATCCAGACAGCTTGCAGCATGGAGGCCATCAGGATTTCAGCAACCTTGGGCCACCTGGGCGCTTTTGCTGACTTAAATGGGTTATGTATGAAAAACTGCGACTTGATATCCCTAACTCTGGTGGAAAGTTGTTTGAGCCAAAATGCTGTTTTTGTATTTGTACCTTTTGATATATTTATACAAGAGATGCTGCAGTTTTCATGTGTGTTATGTAAAGACACTTTGAAGAAACGTCCATTTTTTAATGCAATAAAACACTATATACATGCAAATATGTTTTTCTTAGAGTGCTGCTTTTTTCACCTCTGTGCATTCAAGCAGTCTTGCCTTGAAGTGTCCATAAGCATTTTTATTAGCCCTGCTACTGCTCTCCAAAGGATGTTGTGAAGGAAGGGGCTCATTAACCATCAGGTTAATCATAGGCTCGGTACATTTAGCACAGTTTAGCTGGGGGGAAATAAGAGAGGGGGACCCAAAAGGAGATGCGAAGGGTGTCTTGACTATAGGGGAGATAAAGCCTGTGCCCGGCCGCTTGGAGAAGCATCAGCTTCTGATCTGATCTGGTAAAGCGAGAGCTTTGGCAGGAGAGCTGTACGGGCCAATCCTGCTGTCCACCACCCACAGGGATCGTTTCCTTGGCAGAGGAATCCAGTCCCTTAGCAGAAAAGATCCCGTCTCGCTTGAGAGTGGCTGGGAAGGCTGTGTTGCAGCAGGGGATGCCCAGGAGTGGCTGCTGCCTTGCTCCTTGCTCTGCCACACGCCTTGGAGAAACACTGGTGAGGTGCTGACGCTGCCCTCACCTTTCTGTCGTTTCGTTCAACATGTTGTGTGTTGTTTCATTAAACGGAGCTAATTTTGAGTGGCTCTCCTTGTGCCTTTTTGATAATCTCCCAGGGAAGTTTGACACTAGCTTGTGAAATTCAGTCTCTTGGAAATGCAAAAACATCTGGCAGTAGATTATTCATAGTATTTAGGAGTGACTCAAGCACTGAATGTGGTTGCTTTGCAATTAAAACTTGCAGGGGATGTTTTCATGACAACTTTGCTGCACAGGCAAAGATCAGGCACACAGAGTATTTACTGCCAAAGAAAAGCCAGGTAATGTTGAACTGGCTGTTCGAGTCGCGCAGCTTCTGGAAAGTGCCCTGACATGCCAGGGATCTGAATATCAGATCAGCCCTAGGCACTCCGGAGCGTAGGGACTGGTTTCTGGGAATAGCAGCAAGCCTGTGGAGCTTTATTTACCAAATTTAATTCACATGCTTTACTGAAGGGCTGCTGCTGAGGTCAGCCAGGGAGAGCAGGAACTGTCCCCTGCGGGTTTTGTGGGCAGCT